TTCGACAGCTATTTTTCGCTGTTTCCTAAAATTCGCGGACGTCACGACAAGCAAGTTTACTTTGAAACTCAATTAAATTAATAGCGTTTCCTCGCTATGAACAGTGATGTGTTTGCAAAATGGTCTAAAAATGTATTGTATCGTATACAGGGTGACCTAGCAGAATCTGATATTATAAAACCTAGAATATCGCTGTTACTTTGATATGAGAAAGTGTCTAAGAAAAAACTGATTTATCTCGAAGGAAATTAATCCAATTATTATCATAAATAAATACTTGTCTATTTAAGGTAAATAAGTCCTTCCTTAGACATTTTCTTGTATTATCAAAAATAATAGAGATATTTCAGGTTTTAATGTTAGGCTACTCACCCTATATATTAAGAGATAAAACGCTTTTAGAAAGAGTGAATATAAATTTAGACATATAAAGTTAAAAATGTATATGAATTACTTAATATTGATTAAAATAAACAAAGTATCTTTTTTGCAAAACATGAATTTCATAATTTTACTTAACTTAATCGTTTAACTCAATCACGTAACGGTATATTATTAAACCATTGTATGTTACTCCAATATGTGATGAAAAATACAATATAAAAGCTATAAATGCACGTGTGACAAGAAAGATACATACTCAATTAAATTAAAATGTTGTAGATATTGACATCGATAAAGGTAGACGCAAAGGAACGTTGCATCTGGTGCGAATCAATACGGTACCATTTTTGCAAACAATTCCGTCCGAGCATGAGACAACATCCGATATATCTGAATATTGAAACCCGTTTAACTCGATTATACATAAAAATAATTAATCGATTTTATATATACATATATACATATAAACGACATTTATAGATAATTAAAATTTACAGTAAAACTTAATTTCAATATAAATGCGACGTACAAATATCACTGGATATTTATGCAGCCAATTAATAATTTTCCTGTTTACTACATATGCACAGTTGACAAGATCTCACAAAGATTAACAAATCTAGGTATGACATTTCACGCAAAATTTATATAAACTTTACTTAATAATAATTCATACTCTTATATCCAAGAGAAATGTACACTCATGGTGCGGCAGAAAGAAAATGTTAAAATTAAATATAATGAAGAAATATACAAATTAATTGTCACACAACTTTGTAGAATCTTGAAAAAGAAGAAAATTAATTTCACGCACGATTTATAAATAATCCCGTATCGTGATTTATCTTTGAGATTTTATTAGTTACGATGTTAAATGTTATCAAACGTTTGCGTCGAGGATGGGAATAATCATGAAACGCGAAAGATTAATAACTCCTCTCCTCGGATCAATAATACTGCAACACTTTTCCGATCTACTGCACACGATGACATCCGCTTCCGCAAATCTCTCGATGTAGAAACATCGTTTGAACCGTGTAAGTTCCAGTATCGACTCTGACTTGTTGATTTCGAGCACGATGGTGTATTTATACAACGTCATCCGCACTTTGACGCGTTCTATCGGAAACAGATATTGTTCATGGCTAGTAAAAGTTTAAAAAAATACAAATTTTAATATATTTTTAAGCAGAATCCGGGTAAATAATCTAAATTAAATCCGAGAAGGTATTACAACAAAGGTAAATAACGTTATTACAATAACGTTAGGACAACAAGATGTTTCCAACATATTATCTGAACTTATTTCTACACAATCACAGATCGAGATCCTTCATTTTATATTGACGATAATTAATTTCTACAATAGCATACTTTTATTTCCCGTAATGGTTGCCGATGTCAGCGATTTAACGGCAGTTAAACGATCTTTAGAATTTCGAAGCGTTAAAATCGCGTTGCTTTTACCGTCGGCGATTACCACTAAAGCGCGGTTTTATTTTTGCCTTACTACTCTCGAGCAGGGATGTCCAGGAAATTGTTTCCTCTCGAGGAGAGAGACGAGAATTAACTCTCGTAGACCCGCTCCAACAATTTCGCAAGAGAGAAATGCAGCTATCAGAAATGTGAAAGTTGGGTAGAAACTTTAATTCAATTTCTTGCGTGGTGTTCCCTATTGAACCATGACGACGATGGAAAGGTCACCGGCGGAATTGTAATCGTGTTTGCCACGGGGTAACATCTTGAATTCTGCGACACTCGGTCCGTCACAAGAGGATCAATGACACTGCGGATCAGCGAGACAGTCGTCGTTGACAGACGCGCAAAGACGACGCGCACTTGTCGAAAGCTACTCTCAGCGGAGCTTTTTCGACCGTGGAACGAGTGTGAGCTTCAAGGTGGCTTAGCTGCGGAAATCCGACGGCTGACTGGAGGATTCGCAGACGCGCGCCTTTAATTTAGAAACACGAAGCGCCCTCGACCTCGCACGACGCTGCATGCGGTTTATTTGTGCCAGTAGAAATTCATGTATTGTACATTCGTGTGTCCACTGCACGTTCTGCGATTTATATAAGTCTAATGCAGAAGTACTTTTGTGTTGGATGCGACATTCAGGAGTATCATCAGTCTGCATGTAATGGTACCAGTTATAATTGAAATTCTCTATGCACTACCTTTCCTCGACGGGAAAAGACCCAGTTTAGAGAGAACCAACGATGGTTTGCTACCCAGTGTAAGAGGAAACACGATTTTGTGGTTTTCAGTGTAAGGAAACGACGCAAGTGTCAACCACGAAACCGCTAACGACGCTGACCGAACTGTTATCGCATCGAAAGTGACCTGGCAATTACCATGACTAAATCACCTAACCTCGTGTCACTTTACACATTAGTCTTATATCCGTTTCTGTAGCAATGCAGTTTAATTTTAATCTCGAAATTAACTCTTCATTTTTTCTAATTTTAAAAATTAATAAAAAATAAAAAAAATAAGTTGAAATAAAATTAAAATCTTTATTGATAAAAATGGGCGTAAACTTCGTCATAATTAACCCTAAAATACTGTTGTAACAAAATTAAAATCGGTGCTCTTTGATAAAAATTAAAGAATTCAAATACAATATATAATTTAAAAAAACTTATGTATATTTTTTGTTTAGGAAAGCATTTCATGACGCATATTTTACACGCAATATTTTAATTCTTTTAAAAGTATATGATTTGAATTAAAGAATTGTTTGAAAGAGTAATCAGTACCTAACATTTTTCACAATTATATCCAAAATTTTGTGCAAAATTTTAAAATGATTAGTAACATTATTAGATCGAAGGTTGACTTAATTTGTGCTGCTATTATTTTAGCTCCAGTTTATAATTGCGTTGCAAATCTGACTAACCGAATCAGCAATTTATAGAATTCAAAAATGTATTTGAAAAAATTTACATATAAATATTATTAAGCACTAAAATTTGCTTTGAAATTGATCGAATATAGGAGATTCTTTCTCTTATTTAAACTAATTCGTAATTATTCTATACACATATACAATGTATTATATCTACGAATATTGTAAATATCAATATAATAACAAAAGAAATCTTCTTCGGAGAAAAATAATATCACAATATTTTAAAGAATGAAAACAGGTCTTTACGAAATTGCGAATGGCAGTTGATAAGAGGATTAATCCAATCTGGATTCGTGAGAACATGGCACTGCACTTAATCGGATCTGCTTAAGCGACAATATCGTTTCTCCAGTACAACAAGATTGTATAATAAAGATGTATTAAATCATTAATGCTTCGCAACTTCATCCGGAGGTTACTACCCTTGGGACCGCCTTGCATACTTTAGTGCCGGTAATCCGGCATGATTTTCTCCCACGCTCTCAAACGTATATAAATCCACACTACTATTTAGCTACTATTTTCGGACGCATAGCGTCAACCATTAGATGGCTTTCCGCCCGTGAAAAGTCCGCAGTGCGAAATAAATTGCACGTTTTATCGCGTTCTAATAAAACCATTGTGGAATAAACGCATTTATCGAGCACAGAACATTTTCTAAAAGATCTCCTTGAACACCTCTTTCGTAAATTTGATAAAAGAAGAAAAGAAAGAAAGAAATTTAATAGAAGAAAAATAAAGATCGTGCTAACGCAAGTGGGTTACGAAATACATAAAATAAATTATACAGTGAGATGTTATATCGAATGTAATAAACGCGCAACGCTCGATTTTCATATAATTAATGTCCATTTCTACCAATGTAAATTAACTTTAATCTCGATTTAAATGTAAAATGCTATTGAATGATACAGTATTTGTTGTCGATACATAAATTTTAAAAGGAAATAGGCCATTCTCAATTAATCTGACATAAATTTTCATATATTTTATACACTTTTAGTAACAAAATATTTATAATCTAGACTTTTAATAAACACAAATAACCTAATAATTAACTTAAAAAGAAAGAAATAATAAGCACATCAAATTCAATCTTAAGATGATATGGTCAATTTTGTGTTTCCTAATACATTTACATAAAATAATAAAATATATAATTAAAGACTACCTATATCAACGTCTAATTATAATCACTCCAGATAATCCAAAACTGAGTAAAACGGATAGAATTTTTAAAGTTTGCTTCACTTGTCCTAGTTTTTAGCATAGCAGAATGAACGTTCTAATGACCACTAAAGCACAACTTAGCGCTTAATGACTTCACTACTTGCACGTAAAATTTACGTACCAATAGCATTTTGAAATTAACCCTCACGTGGAGAGGTTGATCCGAGGAACTACGCGATAAAAAAAAGAACACTATATCTCTTTCATTTTCAATACTTTTATAAAGGCAGATTTACAACGGTTTGATTAATAAAACATAAATTTATAAAACTCCTGTGTTTTTATTCCAATTTTTTTGAATCGATGTCCCAGAGACCAATCTCACTAAAAGTGTCATTATCTAGGGTTAATTTACTTTTTATCTTTTTCTATAATTTTAAGAATTAAAAAAAGATAACAAGATAAAACGAGAAATTTAAACCAAGATTAAAGTTAATCTACATTAGTAAAAATGAATTTATTGTCGCAATCGACTCACCCATGTCGTCAATTATAGGCGCCATTCGCAGCGTAACACCAACCAAGAGTAAGGACATGGCAAGCAAAAGACAAGCGGTCGCGACGATCGTCCATCGTGCACGAGGCGGAAGTTCCTCGGGATCGACGAGTTCCTCATCCGGAAGTTCGACGGGATTGATCCTGCGTCGTTTACGTTTGCGCTTTCTTCGCGGTCGGTGATACCTTCCATGAGCCTCGTCTACCTTCTCCGGTCCGCTCAGAGTCTCCTCTTCCTCCAGCTCGTCGGCTACGTTCAACGCCACGTAGTCGTCGTCGTCGTAATGAATTTTTCTGAAAAAAATATCGGAAAATCAGAGAGAAAAGATTCTTCTCTGTCAATAAACATTTACTTGAAAATGTCGAGTGAATGACGATTTGCTTTGAAATGACACATAAAAACTGCACGAATAATATACCAAGCTATTGTTTCCACAACGACGGCTATATTATTCATCGAATCGTTATTCTCGAGCAAAACCGCTTCAAAAATGAAACGTGCCAGTACTCTGACTGTGTCTGACGTTTCATTTAAATAAAAAAAAAATATTTTCTTTGTGTACCTCTCACGTATAGATGTTCAAAAATAAACCTTTTCCCCTTTGAATTGTCTAATAATAGAAAACAAATGTCAATATAAATTTACAAATTAAATTGTCTAACAATAGAAAACAAATGACAAGAAAAATTCTTAAAACATTTTTAAGAAGTCTATCTACTTTTAAAGAAGAAGTTGTTTAAATCGAGAACTTTGCCTTTTTTAGAATGTTCTTATAATGAGATTTCATATTTATTTTCTGAATAAAACGTTCTGAGCTATATCGATGTCGTTAATTAAAATCTACATTCATTCGCACTTCGTTCGCAATTTGAACAGCGGAACACATTTCTGACTTTAGTATACTGATTGTAAAGGCTTCGAAAAAGGGCGAGCGACGAACGAGTATCGATCATCGTGGGTACCTGCATTGTTCGTGAAACTTGAGAAGTTGCTGTTTGCCGTACCGCGAGTGGCGGTGACTGAAAAGCTGACATTCATTGTTACGTACCGCGTATCCTCAATCGAGACTTGGAATTAAGAACGTTACCCCGTTTTTGATCGAGAGAAGCAATTGAACGGCACAAGATTAGAAGATTGTACAAATCGACCACTCTTTTGCAATGTCTAGGAATGAAACGAAAATGCATGAAATAACAAATCACTTCTATCTTCACGCACGTTTCAAAACCTGAAACCAAAATTGAAATTCGAGAAATTAGAGATTTTTGATTAAATACATAATATTATTGTATCATAAAAATGCAGGCTGCGAATAAGTCTTCGTGATATTAAATATGGAAAATATTCCACAAAAAGTGGTTAAAAATGTATTGATAAAAATAAAAATAGTAATGAGATAGAGAGCTATGTATAGTTTTGCTGACGTATTAAAGGTAATCTAGAGCATCAAACGAGATGGCTGAGAAATTTGCGGTAAAATTGTTCTCTATCACACATATCAAAGCTCGGTAATGTACGGAAAAGCGGGCCAGCAATTCGATATACGTTCACAACGGCCAACGAGAAGCAGACCCCGATATCGAGCTGAACAAAGAACAATCGTTGCACTATCTACGTCACATACACGAAGGCCATCACGTGCTCTCTGAGTATAATTTTAGAAAATGCCGCTGGAATAGGACGGAAAAGTGGAAAAACGATAACCGAGGTGCCGGGGCATTGTGGAGGACTGGATGAAATTCGAAGTAGTGATAACAACCGGCGTGTGGTCAGACAATAGCGATTCACGTTGATTCTCGTATTATCGCCGTTTGCACTCTCCGTCGCATCCGTTAAAAGGAATTATATCTTGTGGAATACATGAATATGTATTTTCGTTATTCTACAGTTATGCGACGATAAAGTTAATTCCTGGACATTATTAATATAATATATCCAAAGTTCATTTATTAATAAACGCTTATCGGGAGAATCGCGAAAAGCTTATAAATAGAAGTCTCTACCTACAGCGACAGGATATTCAATTAAGAGAAGATATTCGATGAAGAGAGAAAAGTAAATTGATATACTAGTAGATTTAACTGTATCGAAAAAGACTGTATCAAGTAGTAAACGTCGATGTTGAATCAGTCACTCTGACAGTTATTCTCTCGTGCAAAAAAAAGTTTCAATTAATATTGCCTCTACGACATATCGGACAGTTATTTGGTGATTGTCAAGATACGGTATCTCATGATCTTGCATATATATACATATGTATATATTTAGAGCACTCTCGTCATTACGTCACGTTTTAATCGAATACATCAAATACAATTGAATAGTACAATTAAAAAATTAAAAGGTATTTGATACTTTTTTCAATAAATTAATGGATAATTTATATTAATTGCTGAAGCGCTTAATTAATTAAATATAGGTACTATTATCTGCGATATGAAAAATATGTATTTTTTAGGAATTAATTAATAGAAATTATTTCTGAAAGTAAACCGCTAAATTATGTGATAAATCACGAGATACGATTGTTAAATTGATTAATATGGAACAGTTATTAGAGGTGTCTTTTTTCACATTGCACTTAAAGGTTGTCAAGTAACACCTGCCGCATAATTTCAGAGATCGTTTCGCCGAATTGAAAAAGAAGAAAGGACGCGCGAGACGTTAAGGCGATGACACCTCTTCGTAATCGCTAATCGCCACCGGCTATCATCACAGTTTCATTACACGCTCCAACTACGCGCTCGTCCTTTGTCGCCCAGGTGGTTCAGCCGCCAAACCATATTTGCCGAGAGCGGCATGTGACAGAGGCGCGCAACCACGCACCACGTTGACCCAGTTCCACTGGATGTGCTGGCTCATGCCGAAACCGTGCCTCTCTCTCCCCCTTTCTCTCTCCCTCTCTCTCTCTCTCTCTTTCTCTCTTCGTGGTCGACCGATCGAATATGGAAGAAGGATAGGAGACGCAGCAGCATTCCTAGCGACCCCGTAAACGAGAAGACAGGGAGCGAAAGCTCGCGCGAGTGGACAAGTTTCCTACTAATAGGCGACTAAAGCTGGAGGACCACAGCTGCACCGTAAATGCGAAAACTTTGCCAAAGTATACGCGAAGATTTCCTAAGACGTTCCGAATTCCCTCGGAAGAGGATAAGCTAGTTCCAGAATTTAAAGTCAATTTGTTCTCAGCGAAGGCGTTTTTATCGCGACGCGACGTCCTAATTCTCGGCGTTAAGAAAATAAATATGACTTGATTCTAAAAGAAATCTTATCCTTTCTACGAAACCCATTAAAGATTTATCTTGTCCAACATTTGTTATTGTCGCCTGCAGTTGTACACTTGAAAGTATACTTACAATTGAGCTGCGCTTTGAGAAAAGTAGCAGGCACTTCGGTGCAGCCGCGGATATTCGCAGGAGTCGCCGAGGACTTCTTTAGCCCTTTCGAAATTTATTAGGGCCACGTCTTGGTCGCCGTCAATGCCAAGCAGCTCGAAGCGCGAATCGAGGCCGGCGTGAACGTCTTGGACGACGCCTTGGAGAACATTTGGGCTCCTCGAATGCCTGCGCTTCTTTCGAGGGCTTCGAGGACTCTCGGAGGCTTTTCTCCGTCCCCTTCCTAACAGAACAAAAAGAGCATAATTAGCGAATATCGTTTAGTCTTCATCAATATTTAACGTAGTGAATGTTTTCGTTACGTTATTTTTATGGCAAACCGAAGAGAAAATTTTGTATATATACTATTATTTTTATTCTTTTTTACAATATATTTATATTTCGTTTGTATCTCTTTTCTGTTTATTCTCATATCTTTTATTATCTCTTTCTTTTTTATTTTATTTTCATTTATTTTCATTGCATTTTTCCATTTATATTATTTTTTTACATTCTATGTTATTTTTCCTTATTTTTGTTCGATCTATTTTTAGAGGGTTTGCCCTATAACAATAATAAACGCCTTATCTATCTATTTGTGGCCTACCAAACATTTATTTAACTTTTTATACAGATTCGCGCGTGTGATTGATTAAACAAATTAACGTTTTACTTCGTATGCGAAGAAAAACGTCGTAAGAAGATAAATCTCTTCAGTTTTATTAGATTGAAAGGATCTAAAGTAATTTCTCATTAACTACTATATTATCGCCATAAAAGCTACGTCTCGCCAATTACGTTATATATGTATACATAAAAACGACACACACTTACCATTAGATAATCTATGCTGAGAATGATCCGCCGCATTGTTGAGGTAATCACTCCCGCAGGGCGCGGAGTCGTGACGTCTGCGGTGATGACGGTGATGCTGATGATGCTGGCCCTTTTTCTTATTGTGTTGCTGCTGTTGCTGCTGTTGCTGCTGCTGCTGCTGCTGCTGCTGCTGCGAATGATGATGATGATGGTGGTGGTGATGATGGTGGTGATGATTCAACGAGGAGGAGGCCGTCGAGGTTGAGGTCAATCTAGGTCGACGTGGACTGGTGGGCGCGCTGCCGGAACGTCGACTAAGCGTCGACGACGCCTTCATCGCCTCCACCTTTGTCTCCACCAGGGCGGCGAGGACAGCCTCCAAACGCGCCACTTCCATGCCGCCGCTGCCGCCATCGTCCGTCGACACCGCCTTGTCGGCGACGTCGGAAGTCGACGGCGTCACCGTCATCTCGTCGCCTGCCTTCGCCGCCGCTGTCACATCACCACCCTCATCGGCGGCGATCGTGGCGATCGCCGTCGCGCGATCGGTTGTGGCGCGGGACCGATCAGCCCGCTGCCGAAACGATCACAAGCCCTCCTCCTTCCGCTTCGCCGCGACGGCACTTCTGTTGTCCGCTGACGACAGTTCCTGCAGGAAGCGCGACAACATCAAGCCGACCACCTGTGTCACCGACCGCTGGACCAGAGACAGAGATAGAAAATGAGAGAGCCGCGACGTTGCTTTCCCTCGGCCGCGGTTCCTTATCGCGGTTCCTTATCGCCGCGACGTTGTTCCGCTGGCCGTACCGTTCATTAATCTTCCGTAGGATTTCCGGGCGACGCTACTAACGATCTTCTTTCCCCGCGGTAACAGTAACAGCTACAAGCCGCACAAAAGCTGGTAATCACCGTCGTTCCAATATCGTCCGCATTAGCAGTCAGTGCTTCTTGCACCGATGGCCGTGTAAGGGAAATATCTTTCTTCTCTATACTTTTTCACTGTGACTAAAAAACGAGAGGGATAACTCTCGTCTCTATTTCTCTCGTGTGCCAAGTGATGTGCGCAATTTATGTAAATATCTTGATACTCGCGCAAACATCTCGCCGGCAGTATCTAACTCGGTTCTGTTTGCTTACCGTTTAATTGCTCTGCTGAGCAAGAAAGATAAAACATTGATAATTCTTAATTTAAATTCCAATTTCTTGTGCTTCTCGTCGCTGCTCCGCAACGGAGATTCAAGATCCCCGCAGATGTAACTGCACGCCCGATTAGCTCGCTCGGGCGTGCTCGCCTTCCGTCAGGAAGCAGTCTGAATTCGTTCTGTTGCCTGGAGCCAATCGATGTTCTTAGCTGCAACGGTCAGCTTCGCAATGCGAGTCTTAGCCGGATTTGCGCTCCATTATCGGCGATGGCCGTGCATTATCTGATGGCAAATATCAGATGATTCGCCGTGCTCGACGAGACGGATGATTCCCCGCGGTTGCCGTAAATTTCTTCCAGTGGCTCCGCCGGCGCTCTCGTTTCCATCATACGCGAGTATCTCTTCCACAAGTGTCTGCTTTACGGGATGATTAATCGGAGCCACTATTTGCGCAGATGTATACGCGCGGATAGTCGAAAGCACACGATAAACCCAATATTGCTTGTCGGGGTCAAGTTACGTTCCTTAGTCTCTCATTGTGAATCTCAGTATCCGTTACACTGCTGTAGTACCTTTTCAATTTTAATTGCGGCGAGAGATAATCTTCAATCGTCCATCGATCTTCCATGCACGATTGGCTGCGACGCCCGATGCTCTCAAATACTTGTTTTCCTTTAAATCACCAAAAATGCGCACTTGAGTATTATTTGATGACACAAACCTCGTAGACGTTTGTGTGTTTCGCAAAATCATGCTCGTGACGCGATTATCGAAATATTTAACTCGGGAAAATCTACTTCAGACAGAATCTAAAGTAGCAACAGTGATGAATCGACTGATCCTTTTCGAAATAAAATCAGAATCACGTCGATGCTACTCATTTCTGCTCGAGCGGTTTCTCACGATCTATTCCGACTACCCACGTAACTAATGACCCCGTTCCTTCATTCGACGCAATGCGAAGGACGGTCGAAACACACGCAGCTATGTCCGATTAGAATGCGGTACGACGGATTGTGAGGAAGTCATCCTAATTGAGATTAGGAGATATTTAATGCTGAAATTTTAGAATGACGAGATTTTATTTTAGGGGTTTACTGTTAAGTCAGGATATATATCTCTAGATTCCGAAATAAATTCCGAATTTTTTCAAGTTCGAGATTCAATGTTCTGGAGTAAAAAATTATTTACTACATCGATGTTACCGCATAATCGAACTATTATACCCGATAATTTTAGATTCTGGTGTACCCTGAATAGCCTTGAATAATGTGAGCATTAAATATTCTCTGGACATTGTCGAAGAGCGCTCCAGGAATGTTCCCGATAGCCGATAAATAATCAAAATCCATTTCATCGATCTCGAAAGATTGTTCTAATAATTATGGTCAAATTCAGTTTAACACATATTATAATTTTAAGAAGATTATTGCACACGAGCGTAAAAATTTTGATACCGCGACATTTCAACAAATATATTCAACGAATATATTATTATTTAAAATTCAATAAAATTTTTAAATATAAAACTTTATAAAATTGAAAAGAACTTTTTATATTTGTATACTCTCAATTTGAAAAAGAAACTTTACATCTCTGTATGCTCTCAACTTAAACAAAATAAGAATCCTTAAATATACAAGGACTTTATAACAAAATAAAATTCTCAAGTACAACTTTACAATAAAACAAAAGTCCATAAAAATACGACTTTACAAATTTAAAAAAACTTTTAATCACGTCTCTCTATAGACTTTCAACTTTAACAAAATTATAGAAAGAAATTCTCTAAAGTACTCTCTTTATAATTGAAATACGGTGGGAGAAGGATGAAATTCTTCTTTTAATAAAAAACGATAGACAATGGAGCAAATGAAGTAGCTTGTTGGCATCGCTCTAGCTTCTAGCGTCAAAGCATTTGAAGGACTTGGTTGACTAGCGCAACCGATACACATCAATATACGCTTTGGTAGTTAATTAACCATAAAATCGCCTGATACTACATGGATGTACCGAGAATGTTGAACTATGTAGGGACTCTCCCGCATTTTGAGTCATTCGATCCTGCGATTTTGTATCATAAGCCGGATCCGCGAATACACAAAAGTGCGAGAACTTCGAACTATTTTTCGGTTATTTCCAAACATTATCCTAATTTATTCGCTAAGGTCACCGTGACGTAGCATCCAATCTGCTCCACGTCACCTCCAATTTTTCCGAGCGATCCTTCTTCCGTAAACTCCAAACACCTCACCAACGAACCGTTCCCGTGTCTCTCTAGAGAATAAGGGTGGAGATGTAGCTATCTCGGAAGTATACATGATATCTCGTAAGTAGGGAAGAGGCGCCGAAACAAAGCGTACACAAGGGGGAAGCCGAATTAGACAAAAAAAAAGCGACAAGAGGATGATATACAGCTTCAGAAAAATAAGATGTTGCGAATACAATGCGCGTTTCTTATCCTTGAAATATTTCTTTTTGCAAAAGAAATGGAAGTATGTCTGCGAGAAAATAGATACCAAGTTACTCAAGTCAAGAAGATATTGAATATGGCAAGAGAGTTAATCTTGGACTGTACAATGACAACATCGTGAATACAAGTTCGATGATCAAAACTCTTCTTTTTGTAAAGAAAGAGCAGATTCTATTGAGATATGTAGGTATCTGCAATGAATAGGGAAGTAGAGAAAGAAACAAAAACCGAAGCAACTATAACGGCTCTCTCTCTCTCTCTCTTTCTCTCGAGCGAACGTAAGTACTTGTTGTCACACACAAACACGGGCACTGCTGCTGGTCGTCCTAAGGCAATACTCGCTCATATGTATAACTACTCACTACTCACGATTCTTCTGTACACATTTACTGGCGACGCTACATTATTTCTATCTCGCGGATGCTGACCAGAGGTCTGCGGCTAGCTCCTCTCGTGCGCCTAATGCGGGCGGTCGTGACGCTTCTACGCACCCCGTGCACCCTCGCGCGGCACGGGCGCGAGGGTTGATCGAGCTATTAGCGTGCCACGCGGGGTGGCTACGTCACGCTGCTGGCTGCACCACGTTGCTGGCTGCCACTGCAATCGGCAGCACCCTCAGTGAGCACGCACACACACACATACGTAGAGATGCGGTGGCGCGCACCCTCGACGGAGGGATGTCGCGTGCGCGGGTACTAGCGATCGCCCGAGTACTGGGGTAGCGTCGCGGAACGGACAGGGTTGGCGGCGGGCAGGTAGCCGATCTGGCAGGGATGCGTGCAGCCCTACCCCTTCCTGACGACGCCGCTACCACCACCAACACTACCGACGTCGGCGCCGTCGTCATTGCCGATAAACGTCTCTCTTCTCTCTTCTTCCGGCTGGAGCTGGACTCTAAGGGTGCCAACGAACTGAGATGTTTATCCTTTAAAGTCCTTACTACTTTACTCACACGCACTTTTTATTCGCGACACGCAAACGCGCCAGTTTCAGTGACTTCGAAATGTGGGTTTGTATGCTAATTAATTTGATAAAGAGATATATCGCACGCTCCATAAATTGCGCAGTCTCTTTTTCTCTCCGGATTAGAAATATTAAAAGCTAAACTAAAAAGGATGGTAGCTCTTAAAATATCCAAGAATCAATAGCTTTTACGGTATAAAAAGCTCTCGAGTATTGTAAAACCTTTCAAATATTGCATTTCAATAATACAGAGAGAGATTTTATGTATCATTAATAATATTAGTTTAATTTCGCATGAATTTTATATAATGTAATAAAACTTTAATTTACAGTTTAATTATCGATATACACTCGTACTCTCATTGTTCCGCTATTAGTAAGTGAGTCGATGTACTAAATTAAAATGATTGGCCTTTAATTACTCCCAAAATAGTAAACTGCACGTCGGCAAACCGAGAATTATCAGCATTAATTTTAACGTACCATCGTATAATTATCTATGTGAAAATGTCCATTACACAGCTTTCGCGGAGGAAAAGCCGACTTCGCGGAGGCATCTGGGCCCTGTGTTAAACCGGGCTTATCGAGGTATAAATCATTTTATTACTTGCTGCAACAGCGCAGTTACGGGTTACGTTATAAAGATAGATTATGATACTCACTGTACCAGACGAAGATAAAATTCTACATTTTAACAACGTCGTAACGTGGTATACATTTTCTTAACATTAATAACCGAGATTCAGAGTTGAGAAATAGCGCGTTATGTGTAATGTTGTTGTCGTTTTAATTACCCTTTTTCAATAACAAATGGATACCAACGTTATATTTTCTTATTTTTAATGTTAATAAAAACGCAGCTACATATTGGTTCAAGTAACGATAATAAATGTAATAAATTATTATCGTTATTTTATACATGTATGTGTAAAATACATGTGTATAGAACTGCGTGTGG